CTTATCTACATGTGTACATGTATCTGTGGTCTGATTGGATCATTTAATTGTTATTACTTTAACTGCCCTTTACTTCTACAGACAGGTGGGTATAAATTCTAAATTCGAGTGTGGACTCGAAATGTGCCAGAAATACATATGGCCCGTGTACCAAAACTGACCCGCTATGGTGTTTAGTCCGGTCTGCTTGATGAATTTTGAAAATAAAAATAATACACAAACACATTATGTTCAGGATAGTTTTGGTCAAATTAAATTTCAGTAAATATGAATAATAATAATACATATCTAATATACTTGTACTTATTTGCATGGAAACAGAGGGGAAAACATGGACTTATTGTTATTTATATTTAATTATGTTATGATTGTACTGGTCCGGCCCAACTAATTTAGTTTGCTGGATTATATGGTAAAATACCTTGTAGGGAAGTATTGTCTTTGCTATCAAGTCCGTCACCCTCTACTCATTCCTGACCTCCACTCACACTATTTTGTATGATTTTTTTTGTATCTTTGTCCAGAATCTTACTGTCACTTTACAGTGAGTAAGATCATGGAACAGATTGTCATAGGTTGTCATAGTGCTGCGCCGCACCCTCAACAGCTTCCCTCTGTCTTTGTGTACAACTTGTGTCATGACTGACAGGCCACCGTGTGATTACTAGAGTGTGTCTAAAAGCCAAACAGCTGCAGAAGAGCGTGGAGCGTCAGTGACGCTGAAAATAGTCTCTTATTTAGACTTTTGACTTGATGGCAGGGTTCTCCTACCTCTTGATAAAAACATCAGTTCAAAGAGAGGACAGTGCACATTGAAGTGCAAATTTCATTCCTTTTTCTTCCAGCCATAATAACAGTATTAACACTATTTGTTCTATCATTGAGTTGTGCTCCTCTAGGCCTACTTTTTTATTAGGTGATTATTCCGAGCAAAGTTCATGAAACCAGAGAGCCTCTAAATCTCCCAACCTCTTCCATTTCTCACCATGAGAAATGTTGTCATTTTCCCAGTGTGCACTTTATCCACAAATTTCCGTTTGCAAGTACAGTTTATGGATAATAATCAACACTAATGTTCACTTTACTGGGAAGGTCACATTGTTGAAGATCGTACATACATATATTTTATTTGCAAAAGGACTCGGTAGGAGAAGTTACATTTGTATTTTTATGAACTTTTAAAGAAATGACAACTGAACAATCAGTGGTTAAAATAACAGTTAATTAAAATAAATAAAGGGTTTTGTTTTATTTCAGATAGGCTGGAAAAAAATAGGAACCCAGTATACAGTTGAAATAAAAAATAAGATCTTCAATGATTTTAATCAACCTAAATTACAAATCTCTTTGAGACGAGTTTAAATAATTAACTGAGCTCATTCTGGAAAAAACAGCCAAAGATGAGAAACTAATACAGAAGTACCATATTTTCAGGACTTTAGTCAAACTGGCAAGGGTGAGGGGGGAAGAGGAAGAGGTACTGCATATATAGAGCACAGTGGGAGAGGAAGGGGTGAGGACACAGGAGCGCACGGAGTGGAACTCCTAGAAGGAAGCACAGGGTGAGACAAAAAGAATTAAAAAATGACAGATAATGTACCTACAGGAAGTGGATGTCATATATCAGCTTGAGGTGCAATGTTGTATAAATACCTGCAGTAACAGGCTGTGTTTTCTTGCTTTATGCTATTTTGCTAAATTTTGCCAAAGCAAACCTGAACAGCATCAAGACTATACTACTACAATACTGATCCCTTAGATACTTTTTTTCTAGATACTTCAGAAGGTTTGGTAGCTAAAGTGAAAATGTACTCCAAGGAAAAAGTTTTTTTCCCCAGCAATGAATACATATATTGAGAGTGAAAAAAATCCATTTGTGTATATGTATTTAGTATTGAGTAAAAGTTTGACTAAAGTTTTGGCAGCTGTCTTTTTCACAATATGTCATCAGGACACTTTTTTCTTCACATGCAGACTGAGAGGACATCAATGGATTTGATTGGTGGTTTACATGACACCGAATGAAAGCCGTCTCCTCGGGGACGGGTAATCAGAGACGTGGTCGATTCCTGTGCCCGTCTTTCACACGTTTTGCAGTAAGCCTTTTGTGCATGTGTTTGTTGCAGAGGAAAACACCTCAAACAAACAATAGAGGAGACTTCAGCAGAGGCAGACAGAGAACAGTCTATGATACAGTGTTGTATGAAGGCTGTACACATTTAATAAGGTATTGATCAAGTGTTGTAAGAAGTATTGTTCATATCATGTCATTTCAGTTTTCTCTGACTTCCAAATGTGCCTAGCTTCCAGCAGAGCTCTATTTTAAGTTGTGAAAATCTTCAAAGAAGTATTTTTCATTTTTAAAGTGTTTTTTCATGGTCACTTGGGTAGTTCTTGAAATGTCTTTGAAAATAAGAAAACGTGACATTTGCAGTTAGGAATATAACTTTAAATAAAGGAGTGGAAGGAAACACATATGAATTATATATAAACTAAAAGAAAGGAACAGAATAGTAATAACAGTAACAGGAACCTCCAAAAACAAGTACAATTTTTTTTCCCCGGCACGAGGCCCTAAAATGTCAGCTGCTGTACATGACCTGATCATGTTTTGAAGTAAAAACCTGCACTCTTGTTTTCTAGCAGTAAGTGTTAAAATGATACTATAGATGATGTTTATTTTAGGGTAATTGTTTTATTGATGTGTATTCTGTTCCTACAACAGAACCAATGTTTGCTACTTGTTACTGCTATAGTCAATTGAAGATGTTACACGAACAAAGGATTAAGGCATGCAGGTGGAAGAGATGTAATTGATTTGGAGAAAAAGTTAACTTATTGTCAATTTATATTGGTGTCTGAAGCCCACACAGAAGAGAGTGCAGCACTCTCCACACTCTCCCTCCAGGAAAGTGCTGCAAAATAAATGCCTGTTTCAAAGGACTGACATGCCATGAATACTTCTACACATATGCTGAATTTGTCACTTACAAGAGGATGCCGTTTGTTTGTTTTTGCAGGCACATGCGCAGTCAGGTGTATGCCATTTTGATGATATGCTGAAATGTCAGGACATCGGTTCATTCCTTATCTATGAGGAATCAGCTCTCCACTTTGACCTGGATATTGTTAATCCCCCTGCCCAGATACATTCACCGTAGGTCTTGTGGGTCTCCTCTTGTGGACACACATGAACTCCCTCTGGTCTGCCATCCAGTGTGTTTCAAGAAACTCTCTTGCCAGCCAAGCCAACATTCATTTACTTTGGCAGGAGTCTCCTCTTCTCCAGGATATCACTGACTTTTCGAGTTTACTTGTTTGTTTTTCTTCCTATTTCTAACTAAACACGACCACTTCTTCTGGGTTTGTTTCAGTATGAATAAGTGACTCTGTCCCCAATGGAGGTCTTCTGATAATCCATCACAGGAAACAGAAATTGAAGCGTGTGTCTTCTTTCTTCAGCTTATTTAAATTTGAAAAACTGTCATCTTCCCCCTCTTCAAGTCCCAAACCAAATTGTGATTTCAAAGATGACTTTTCTCACACCCCTATCTACTCTCTCACTCAATGAGATGCATTTAATAGATTTTTATATTTACAAATTTTACAATATAGAAGCAATATAAACTTTCCGTTTTAGGGGAAATCATACGAACATTGGAATGTAATCCAATGTTTGTATGATTTCCCCTAAAACTCCACTATTTAAAAGCCAAAAGATGGGAATGTTTTAAGTCATATAGAAGAAACTAAGACTGTATTAACCCCTATAATCTGTTCACGTTAAGGTTAATCCAGATGTTTACATTGATCATAAAATGTTCATACTAATACAAACTTTGACTGTGTACTGTCACCTGTCCTTTTCCTGATTTGAAGCTCCAATATTTCTCTGAAACATCCATGCTTTTACTTACTACCCCTCCCCACAGTAGTCAAGTTAATTTAATTTGTGCAGTCCAAACTTTCCAAACACATTTTCCTCATTTGATTTTTTCAGTGTTTCTATTGTCCATGTACCCTATAACAGCAGAAAAAATGTGGAACGTATATACAGCACAGTTAATATAATATTATGTTTACGTTTACAATAAAACAATAGAGCAGGATCCAAGAAGAAACCAAATGGAATTACACACTGAGCAAGCACTTGAGTAACAATGGAGAGGAAAAACTTCCTTTTGACAGAAAGAAGTCTCCAGCAGATCCACCCACTCTGTGTTCAGCCATCTGCCTCACCATAGAGACAATGGGAAAATAGGGCAGACGTAAAAGGGGGGAATGAGAAAGAGAGGCAGAATGAGAGAGAGAGAGAAGGAGCAGACATGCAACACTATAATCTAAGCAATCTAAAGATGCTGTTTATATGCAATAGTTAATTTATTATAAATAACAATGTGGAGTGGTCTGCATCAGGTCCTGTTGTGCTGAAAGCACATGAACAAAAACAGAAAAGTGTGGAAAATGTAAAGGACTATGAATTTTAAATTAACAACACTTGTTTAAGCAAAATGTTGTTTTTTAAAAAAAGTTAGCATGTTTAAACAGGATTGATTAAAAAAATCTGAACAGGCTGATATGACCATTTTGTTTCCTTAGTCAGACATCCAGGTCATAGAATAAAGTACTGTTCAAGACCTGACTTTTGAAGGTACTTGAAGGTATTTTCGACTATTATTTTATAGAGTTCCTACAAAAAAAAACTTTTTTTAATGCCCAACTCAACATTTCTTATACAGAAGAGAAAGATTTATAGACATAACATTTTTCTTTGTTTCTGTAAAGAGTATTTGGACAATAAACATTATTATTATTAATCAAGAAAAAACATATTTTCCCTCTTTCTTAATTCTCAGCTTTTTGTCTCCAAGTCTCGCAGTCTGTGTTGCAGCGCAGCCTCTTTACTTATATATATAGGTATATATAGTTCTGCTTGTCATTTTTCTTCACATTAAAAATTCATTATTTTGAATAATACTTAAAAGGGAATTTGGAACTAACATGGGAACAACTCAGTCCCCCTAATCTCTCCTTTCACTTTTTTTTGTGTCATTTTTGCCTCCCTTTTATTTTTGTCATTTTTAGCCTCCCTTTCATGAGAGTGTTTCATGACAATGTGTTTGTTTGTTTTTTTAAACAAAACATGTGAGTCCCACAAAAGGAAGAAAACAGCATAAATATATTCATTTTTTATACTGAACATCTCTCCTCTCAGCATGAGCTCACACTTAGGAGACTCCACAGCAAGAATGGGTTACCATGACAATATGCGGCAAATACATCAACAGGCAAACTCCCTGCTGGGACCATTGTATATGGTCCTTAGATTAAACATACTTGGAAAAATACGTAGAGAAAAGTAAAAGAAAAATAACCTGTGTTCCAGACTAAATTGTTCTCATGAACATTTACTTTGCTGGGATTTTCCCCATTTGGTCAGACCAAGCAATAACATCCTCCTCTGGAGATGTGATCGAAAGTTGACACTCCATCGCTTCACGCTTTACCCAACGACATATTTTCACACGTTTCCATGAGAACCGACTGGAGATTTTATGTTTATATAAACATTATTTTTCGTTGGTTTCTCTATGTTCTCAAGCTGTAGACCAAATTGTATCAGGGTTCTCTTAGACCTAATCCCTAGAAAAGCGAGTTTCCAACCCATCGTGATGACTCACTACTTTGTGAATAAGGCCTTTTTTTAGTTTCACTGCACCTGAGCTTCTGTCCTTGGTCTAACAATGTGAAGAGGAAAGAGTCTAAAAAAAAAAAAAAAGTTCAACTGTAGATTTGAGTCTGATTTAGTGACAGAGCAAAGTTCCTATGGTTTCGTGATGATTTAGAGACGAGTCATGAATTATTACATGGTACAAGGGTTCCTGGATGAATGATGTTCTCGACCTACGGAGTTTTGTGGTTACGTTGCCATTTTGCAGAAATGTATTTCGATTTATTAACTTGTTCTATCATTACGACGTACAGCGTTAAAACTCGACAACCGGTTTACGCTTTGCATGGGAACCGGTTCACGAGCGGAGCAGACATATAGGTCTCAATGCAGCGCAATACACAGAACACAGCTTTGTTTACATTTGCCAGTCGTACACCATACACTGGGTTGTACTTTCTTTCGTTTGTGTTGTTTTTTTAGGAACTTTTCCCCCTTCATTATGGCTCCCAAGAGTAAGTCAGACTCCTCTGATGTTTTTATGTCCTAGATTATGATGTTACTGTGTAACTTTAAATTTTGTTAGTGTGTCACCTTCCCATACCCACGGCTAAGTGAGTATAATTAGCATTTTTTTCTCTCTCTCTGTCTGTGTGATGGTTTTATTATTCTGAAAGTGTACATGGGGTACACCTAATTACAGGTCATTTTTATTCAAATTAATTCAATGCCCAACGATGCCAGGTACATGCAAAGTAGTTACACCTCTACCGAGCTGAAATGAACCTACTTTACCTCCGTCTGACTTCCTGTCCAAGTAACCTGCCTGAGCAACCCAAGAACACGTCCATATTTAAAATTCGACGAAATTTCAGAGTCGTGTGTTTGTGCATCTTTGCCCAGCGTAATCCATTCTCCACCCATACCTCTTAGCTAATATCCCTTCATTGTTTTTGGGGTACATGTGTCAAGGTAGTATTATACTGGGTAATAAATTATAATAGCAGATTCATTTTATTCAAGTGTGCGTGGTGGCAAACATTAACTACTTTGCGCTTTGTGCCCCTAGTGTGTATGAGAATAGGAATGAGTAGTTATCATTTCTCACACACACACACACACACACACGTGTGCAGATGGGTACAAACACCAACACAGACACAAACAACCAGTGCCAGATCAGAGGTGTGTTCAATAAAGTACTAATAAAGTAGCAAATATATCCAGCTATTAGGCCCAGTGTGTGAGTATAATTTAGAAATTATCCAAATGGAGAAACCATCTAAAAAAAACAAAACAACTTTTAGTATTTTCCCCAACAACAGATTCTGATTCTCTTCTTCATGATGCAACAATTCAAGACTACAGACGTGACATATTTCTTAGGTCTTCAAAACTAAAATAAATTGATATTTAACATTTCCTTTAAAAAAATTATTATTATTAGATTAATTTTCTAAGTCATCGTGCCAATGATGGCATTGCTCCTCAATTTGTCAAGACATTTAAGATTGATTTTGTTAAACCTTATGTCAACAAAATGCTCGGGACTATTGCCTTTGCTGATTTTCTGTTCAGTCAAATTTTTCATGATTTATTACTATTCTACTATTCTCTCACTTGATCTGTTGGAAGTGTGGGAATCTATATACTGGTTTGGGCAGAGAGCCAATCAGAGCAGTGTTATTTTACTGATTATGTCTTATGAGCTGTGACTTCCCTTTTCCACCACCAAATGACCTAAAGACTGAAGACATTCACCACAGATGTAGGGTTCCGCTCACGCCTCAGTGGACGTGATGTGTTTGTCTTTCTTCTCTGCCCATTTCCTCCAATTATTCCATACAACCACTTACCACAGTCTATTAAGCCACTCAGAGGATATGAGGGAAAAGAGATGGCAGTTAAGTGAACGAGGTTTTTAAGACAAGAGAAGAGTGTTACAATAACGATTGCCTAAAGGATGTAATTTTTTTTATTGATTTGGCAAGATTGCAGGTGCAGCACTGGTGCTGCTGGAAGATAAACAAAGGTTTCTTTGATTTCAGACACGTATTTGGTACTTACAGTAAGCAAATTAATTGACTATATATATATATTCTCTCCTTAAACTGCAACCTTATGGTGGTGGAGGGGTTCGAGGGTCTCCCAGGGCAGAGGGAACAGACCAAGAGCAGTTCAAAAGAAAAAACAAGGAAGCTCACGTCACCTGGATTGGCGTCACCAGGGCCCAACCCTGAAGCCAGGCCCGGGGTTGGGGCTAGCAGGCAAGTGCCTGGTGGATCTAATTTTTTTGCCCACCCAGTGGGCCCATCTTTCAGTAGGCCCACCACCTGCAGTAAGGTTCGCAAGTGGTATGTGATATGGGTGGCAATCGTGGGCTGGGACCCCGACATCCCAATCCCTGGGCTTAAATGTCACCTCGCTGGGGTGACATCACATCACCCTGAAACAAATCAAAATTTGTTTGAAAATAATAGTCTGATTTGTTCGTGTTGATCCGAGGTATCACTGTATATACTGTAAATTTGTGTATGTGTGTAACTGAGCTGGGTTACTGATACGAAACCTTGTCCCTGCTCTGCGTGGCATTGACTAACATTACATGTGATGTGATTAAGGGCCTGACTAATGTTTCGTAACAGACGATGTGTGTGCATGTGTGTGGTGGGGGGGAGGAACGGGGGGGGGTATAAAACAGTATGCCACCATGGTAGAAGATCATTGGCTTCCTGACGGAAAAATGGAAGTGGATGTTCACAGTGTGAAATATTAGAGCTGGATATTTATCTGCTTTGCTCTGCTTGTCTTGTCCTCCTTGGAAGAGACAGTTTTTAATTAGAACCGTGGCTCAATATTTTACACTTTAATTAAAGCCACATGATTCTTTAATTCCGCAGACCTCTGACTATTTCATGACAGTGTGATTAACGATTATTTCCCACCATCACACCCTAAGGCTCCTCGCACAGCCGCCGATCAACGTGACGTTTGACCACGGTTTTATTTTGTAGCAGTGAGAGTTTATCCACAATTTAGCCTGATGTGCTGGGGAAGGACAGTGTGATGCTGCAGCCTCAGGAATCCCATTATTGGGTTTCGTCTGCTGCTTTAGTCTAGACCAGTGGTTCTCAAACTGTGGTATGCGTACCACTAGTGGCAGGGAAAATTCATATTTTCACATTTACATTTTCAGTTGAATAAACCAGAAACATACCATGCACATTTAATACAACATTTGGAAAAAATGTGTAGCTACTTGTGAGATTATAAAAATAGGATGTCTGGTCTTTTAATTTATTTACTTGTTTTTTTCTGCAATGCAGGTCTGTTGCTCACATATGCACAGGCAGCACGGAATCATGGGATCACTTGCAAGTTGAACGTGGAACGAGCAGGGGAATTCTAATGTTGGTCATCATGGTGGTACTCTGAG